TTTGAACTGTAAAAAGGCCTAAAACTTCTTTTCCTGAAATATTTTGCTGTTTTCAGCCCCTCTTTATCTTTAATAAATAATGCAAAAAACTGCAAAAAATTAGTGTTTTAAAATTTTCTTTCAAGAACAATGACTCCTACAATTGGTCAATTGATACGTTCGACATTGTTTATTTATTTGTAGATCTTCTTATGCTGAACTTTTTTGGCAGTTGTTTTACAATTATTCCGCTGATTGACAGCGTTTGACTTTGTCAGTTTTTATTAACTTGTCTTTTTGAATTTACCTTAGAGTTCGTTTTTTTTGTTTGCTGTGTATAGTTTCTCTTTATGTTTCTAACGTCTCCAAAAAGATAATTGATAATTTTCTTTCAAGTGTAAAAACTTTAATAAGGTGCTCATTACCATGTTGACTCATTTGTAGATGATATAAAATTTTGCTGAATATTTTTGCTGTTTAAACATGTTAAATGTTTTTCTCTATATATCACAGTTAATGCAAAATATTTAAAAAAAATGGTAAAAATAGTGTTTCAGAGACAATAATCATATCAGGGACCTATTGACGATATCAACTATGTGTTCTTATATATAGACCTTATTTTATGTTATCTAGTTACTAGTATCAATATAGTGAGAGGAAACAAAACTGCATTATTTTCTCAAAGAAATAACTTTACAGGGACAATAACTCCACAATAGAATGTCCGATTATTTTTGAATTTTCATCATAGAAAGACCTTGACCTGTTCACCATCTTGACTTTGTCAAATTTTAGATATAAACAAAAAAACTCCAGTTTAACCGCTATTTTATGCAGCAGGAGCCATGTTTTGTTTTTATTAATCAAATCCACGAATACAAAAAAAAAAAAGAGTTGAAAGATACCAATAGGACATTAAAACTCATAAATCGAAAATAAATTGACAATGTGTTGACAAAAAAAGAAAAAGATCAAAAGACAAAAAACAACATACAAAAACCAACAAAACAAAGTAAAGACTGAGCAACACGAACCCCACCAAAACCGGGGGTTATCTCAGGTTTTCAGAAAAGGTAAGCATATTCTGATCAAGTGGCACCCGTTGTATTGGTCATGTAAGTACTAACCCGGTGATAAGTCTTATTCGGTAGGTCATATTCGGAGATAAAAAGGGCAATCAAGAAATCAAGCATCTTGATAACGCCGTTTCCGAGAATTTATTGTTTGAATCAGAGAGATTTTTTACAAAGTACGATTGATCCATCCCCAAGATAAGATACTTTTATTTACGTTACTTTGACCATTCTCTTTTATGAAAAAAGCAGGACCAATTTTCTAAATGTGTTTTTGAGTTTGGAATGGAGAATACTTGTGTAAAGTGTAGAAAAGTCAAATGTTTTAATACTATTGCAAGATGAAAGAATCTTAGATAGTGTGTACAGATCTATGAAATTGTTAAGTTTCCACATCTGATTCACGCCACCTCTAGAATATGTAGTTCTTCAATAACTTAATTCCTGGATTTCATTGCTGCGAAATTGATTTAGAATGAAGTTCCGTGGAGCACTTGAGAGACACAGTTTGTAAGGACACTTATGTAATCTAGGTATCCTATACAGTGAAAGAAGACCCAGTTCTGCATCTTTGGTTGAAATACCAAAGGAACATACAACAGACATATGATTATCCAGGACAAAGACGGCCAGTCAAATTATATATGAATGGAGAACTAGCACAGAAGGATTAGACTTGACCTCATCAATATTGAGATCCTGTAACACATGTTTGTAATTGAAAAGAATAAGGTACAGACTGATTTTTAAAATAGGGAGGTAGTGACAGTTTGGTTTTATTTAACAAATGTCGCTTCTCGTTTTCGGTATTCACAAAACGGAACAATAAACACTGTATGGAACGTGGTCATTATCATTGTGGACCATAGACAGAATTTTTGAAAGGCCTAGTTGTAAATTTCAGCAGTTAAGCATTTCATGCTCAACAAGTTCCTTACATATTTAAAATAAATATACTGGATAGGTTCATCCTTTTAAGCGCAAACTAGAACTTTACTAGAATTTGAATATCAAAAGGTCTATATATACATGTTATTAACAGTCCGAATATAGCAAAGAGCTCTCGACCAATGAAATTATAGGATTTGATGTTCCTTAATTGTGAAGATTAATGAAAATCATGTTCTTAGAAAGGGATTATCGTACTGTTTAGGCCTATTTAAAGTTCAAAACATAGAATGTCTATGAATGAGTTACAACTGCCCCGAAGCACACTTATCAGATTGGACATATTATTGATTGAGTGCTGCATATTGAAAAAAAAATCAAAATAAGTTTCAAGCTTACTGGTGCTGTGCTGTAAAATTGGTACTGTTTTTTTGTAATGTGAATATTTGTAATTTCAAAATTACAAATAATTAGACAAATAAAAATAAAACCTTTTAAATTCATTTCCAATATGTGGATACGATTAAACTAGAAAACTAAATAAACTTTTGACTTTCATATAAAACGTATTTTATTTTAACCTTTAGATTATAGTAAATAAACAAAAAGATATCACCTCACTTAAATGTTACATGATTTACATTCATACTCACACACAATAAGGACATTTATACAACTTCTACCAATTCGTTGTACTGTTGTATCATCTAATGTCTAAAACAAAATTTATTAAAATTCCCAAATTATAAGGAAGTCCTTATATCACTAAGAATACTCTAAGATGTAATATCTAGGTATCCAGGGAGAATATATAATAGAAGTAAATTGATTTAAAACATTAAAATATTAATGATTTCATGTATACCGGAGTAATTCATTTCAATCCGTTAATGATTTTTCATATTAGTTAATTTATCCAGCGTGTTTGTTGTCATATGTTATGATTTGATATTCTTGATAATTTGAAAGTTTACGGAATATATATATAAACAAATTAACATATATTAAAAGGTAAGTAAATTATAATCTTATTCATTTTTGTAGCATAAGCTTAAGCTTGCACTACAATTGTATTGCTGCTTTTTAGATTTTGAGTTATTAGAACTTGTTGTAAAGTTCTGTTTAAGTATTCAAAGTCCAAGGTAGACATGATTATACATACACAAAAGTATGCAACACAAAGTTACAAGAAAATAAAAAATCTTTATATGAATATAATATATTCTTTTTCAAACATGGTCTGGTGAGGGAAATTCGTACATATATGTAAGTCACCTGACATACTCGAGTCATGTGACATACTTGTTGCTTGGGGAATACATAGATATATTTCAGTATATATTTAAAGTTAACACTTTCATGATTGTTTTATGAAGTTGAGGGTTTTTGTAATTAATCTGCAGTTGTTTCTTTTAATAACAATATTAACTTCAACAATACTTTTTATTTCTGCTTTTTAAAAATATTTTAAAAATATCTCTATTTGTTTCTTTTTGATTCAGGGATATATAATAATTTGTAGATGGAAAATGTTTTACTGTCAAAAGGTAGTTAATTCATAGAATACTGAATTATTTATTTCATATCTAACTATGAGAGTTTCCATATTTAGAATGTTTTTTACTGAAAACTAAGAAATTAAGCAGGTCTAATATTTTTGAAATAAAATCAGTATTGTAGCTGCAAGATTGAAAAAAAAGTGTTCATAGTCTATTTTTACACAACAATGATTGCATCTATTATCTGACAGTATTCCCCATTTTGCTAGTACAAATGTAAGTCATTGTATTGTATAGTTAAGTGAAGTAATTTCCACTTAACTATTTTCAGTTTATTTTATGTTGCTGTTAAATTTGGCGTTGAATGACATTTGTAACCAATATAGTTCTAGAATTGAAATATAGTATATAGTTAACTTCTTTTATATATTTTTCTTTTCCTTCAGAATTCCTGTCTTTCTCATTTATTTATTAATATTCAAACTTTGCGACATTACTTTTCGCTATCATTGGCATTTGTTATTGGTCACATTTTCAAAACTACATTGTTGTTAGAAATTCAGAGTTAACACATTTATATTGGGAATTTTGGTAATGGATTACATATAAAATATATAAAAAAAGAAGATGTGATACAATTGCCAATGACATACCTATCAATCAGAGGCATGAAACCTTCAGCAATTTCAGCTTCTATAGGTCATCATACAGCCTTCAAAAACAAGCAAAGAAAATACCGTATAATAAGCTATAACAGACTTCTTCATGATAAAATGTGATAAACACAAACGAGAAGATGTCATCGATGTGAATATATGCAAAAGAAAGAATTTGCCCTAGCTTTAAAACGTGTGTGCATTGTAAAAGTTTGCATTGAACAACACTTGAACTATAATGATTTAATTTGCATATTATAAACAATACTTAGTTTCATTTTCAAAATTTCGAAATAATTAGATGTGTGTTTTGCCTTTTGGAATGTCCTTCCTAGAATATTTTTGTTACATATTATTTAATACTGAAAAATCAATAAAATCTTCATATCTGGTAATATGAGGCAATATCTTCAAATATTTTTAGTTTGAGCAAATGCTAAGTTATCTGACATAATGTTGACATCAAATAAAAAAGTATACGAATGAATGTGTAATGCTGAAACTTTAGTAAAGGTTCAAGAACGATTTGAAACAGGTGAAATGAATTCATATGTCTAATTACTTTTAGTGTATGTAAAGGTACCGAACATTACAGAGCCAATCTGCAATGTTTCCGAATTGTTAACATTATGGAGGGGCTATGAAAATTTTTCTCAGGATATAATAAAAAATGAGGCGTCGTGACTTTGATTCTATTCAGGAACTTCATGACCACCATCTCAACCACTGTCAAGTAATGGATAGAATGTATAGTTTTTAATTAAATCTAAATTTGAGACTAATCAGTTCTTAGTCAGAATGTTCGAATACCACACACACACACACACACACACACACACACACACACACACACACACACACACACATTTTTAACATTTATATGTGTTCACTGTTTATTTCAGGGTATTTAAAACAGAAAATATCCAAATGGATGGTTAACAACATAAGAACATTCTATGAGTCAGATGAGAAATATCTGCTCACAATAACATCACACGGCAATTTTTACAGTGCACTCGGAATCGTTTCTGATGAACAAGTTATTCAAAGATTGAATCCATGGCAAAAGGGTTTAAATATCAATGCATTCCGAGAACAGGGAACATCATCATCGATTGGAAATGTTTGGTGTTCACTTAAAAACACAGAATTAAACCACTTGTGCAGTAAACCTTTGTTTTATTATATGTGCACAAAAGATGACGATCTCTCCAGAAATCCTCACGTATTTATAAAACAATTTGCAATTGAAATTATGAAATATTTTCCAAAAGTTGGACAAGGCATGTATTTTAATACAAAAGTCAGCGGTTATTTATACAACAATGTGTGTCTGATGAATCCAGATGATTGCTTAAATGATATGGTGGTTGAGCCACTAAAAATATACAAAAGCATTGCAAGTCAAATAAATCATCTATTAGTTGTTGATTATGTTAACGACTGTTACCAAAAAGGCGACAATTCTAAATGGAATATACTGCACATTATAGACACAATGGTTAAACATCTACCTGATCAATTTAAAATAATATTGATATCAAGACATAGAAGAGACATGTTTGATATTTTTGGCATCCGAAATGTGTATGTCAAAGGCATAGCACTTTTCGCAGAAGGGAACTATTTTAGGATTTCAGGTAAATACACAATATGTAAATTATATATATATTAAATGACTTATAGATAATAGATTGTTTTTAATATCCGCATTATTAATATATATATAGCATGCTGCTTATTCAATTTTGTTTCCTTTGACCATTAAAGAACACGCTAGTACATTATAACCTGAAAGTTTACACTGCGGAATGTTTGTGCGGAGAGCAAGTATGAGTCCATACATTTTCTCAAAGATATTCTCCGAAACAACATAATCAATTCAATAAAAATTGACATAATTTACCCTTAGATTGTTTAGATTTAAATTTATTGTTTTCAAACCTTCAACTAACACGCCCGCAATAGATGAAAATATACCATACGGATGAAATGCAAGTGATTGTCTTATATTTTGAAAACAAAATAATTACTCGTAATTGAGGATTTTGATCAGTTTTGGCATTTTTGCTGTTTGCTGGAAACCATTATAGACTCACAGATCTGTTCACAACACAGCTACAATGATCAGCAATACAAGATATGCACATTGACAATATATCTGAAATTATGCATTAATTTTACTGACCTCTGATTGATACGAGCTGTATCCATGAAGTTAGACTATTTGTTTACCAATAAAAGGATTTCCATCTTGTGTTTTAGATTCTTATGGATAAACAGAAACTGTAAACAGCAAAATTGGTCACAAATAAGAAATTACAGTTATTTGTAATGGGTTATATAGGGGGATACTTAATTTTTCCTGAACATGAGATAATGGCTTTTCGTTTTTCTGCCACCTTGCTGTAATTGCTTTTGAAAAATGTATGCTTTCTAATAAGAAGAAAACGTATCAGTATTGAGATTTATTTTATTCATTATCAATTGATAATATACACAACGACAAGATAAAACATACTTGTGTAAAGGGTGACCTACAAACCAATGTTTTTTGTCTTCAATTGTGGAGATGGTCTAAATATATTAACGGTATTTTATTTTTATTTTTATTAAAATGCAATAGAAAAGCCTACATACCTATCTATGTTTCTAAAGGAGAAAACCATGCGCACATATTTTTTGTTTGTGTGCATTATAAAGATGAGAAGAAAAAATTTATTTTCTTACTTTTTCAGAATTAGAATTGTCATATGGGGAGCACCATGATGTAATCGGTTTTTGTAAAGACGAAACTGAAATAATCATGTTAGCTGTATTCTTATGTAAGTTGTATATGAAATTATATGTTTCCTTTAGACCTTTCTGCTATACAAATACAGGATGACATAACATGAACCAATGAACGTATACTAGACGTTTATAGTCTCCTGGTATCCTGCTTCTGTTTTCCAGCGAACAGTTATCTTCCAATAACAGGAATAGGAATCAGGGATATGCTTACCCTCCCTGAGCGCCTGAAATCAACCATGGTTTTTGTTGGGGTTCGTGTGGCTCAGTCTTTAGTTTTCTGTATTTTGTTTTGTCTACTGTTTGTCTTTTGCTCGTTATTATTTTTTTTTTGCCATGACATGATTAGTTTGTGTTCGGCAAATGAGTTTGGGAAATCGGATCTTTCGACTTTACTTTACAATACTTACAATATTTTAGTCCCTCATATAATGCAATATCATAAAACGTTTCAACTCTATACACTTTGCAACAGTATTACTTTTTTCTTCTTATAAGAAAATGAAAAAGAAACTGTCATTAACCTTTAATTTCACATTCCGATATATAGATGTTGCAGATTGCATCTGTACCAATGATTTTGAAATAAAGTATATTGCAGATACAGTTTAGTCTGCTTCATATTTTGTCTAACATCTAGAAAATGACAATAAGGGTCAGTTTGGAACTACATAAAACAAAGAAAACGATAATTTTAATTTTCCAGTTGTAAACGTTTTATTTCTGTGTTGCAAAATTCCATCAGCGTCTGCATATGGGATATAAATCTTCCAGTTGATACGATATTCAAGTGTTTGTGTTTCCATCATGATTTCCGTGGTAGAAGGTTACTGCTAGGAAGCTAGGCAGATATGGCATCAAGGGTTCACAGAAGTAAAATTGATGACATCCATTCGCAATCATGATTAAGTTGATCGTTATAGAATATCGGTGTTATTGTTGACCAAGGATATGTTCCAGTTGTCGTAATCATAATGCAGTCTTTTTCTCTTGATTGTGACAAATCTGAATCGACTTATCGCCGTTTATTTACTCGCAATCCTATATTTGCCGGGTGCCACTAGTCGACCAAGAACATGACATAAACACGTGCGTCTGAACCATATTTCTGGATTTTTTCTTCAAGAACGCTTATTTACTGCCAACTCATCCGGAACATTTTATTTTATTAGCTATTAGAAAATGACGAATCGATTTGATTGCTATATTTGCCTTCAGATCTCAACAATTACTTGACTATTGTGCTATAAAGTCCAAATTGATGAATCAATAGCAGCTATATCATTGTACTGTTAAATGATATTGTTCTTGCCTTCCAATTTAAACAAATTCATCACGAATTGAAAGGCATAATCTTCTTTCTATTCCTTCTGTCTAACTTTCATCAGATGATAATACGATTTGCGCCTTCTTTAATAGATCACTTTGTGTCACCAAGAGCTTTTCCGATGTTAGACTAACCAATCTTGCACTTTATTGAATAGTAATCGTTTAACCTATAATGGCATGAGCCCATGTCAATGAAATAATATGTACAGTGGGCTTTCGATTGGTGGTGTCCATTAAATTGACAAAGAAAGAAGGACAAAGAACAAGAAGGCATCTAGGTAAAACATACACATATGAGATAGAAAAAGAAATCAACAAAGCTTAAGAAAATTGACAGGACAGAGACTATGAAGTTGAGAAAATCAATGGTAATGCGAACAATCATACCACATCTCCTATTCTATACTGCCTACGTTGAAAAACATGATCTTTTTCAGTCCGTTATTCACATAGCAAAGATGCAATTACATCATGTACATGTTGGAATAAAATCTAAATGGAAAAAAAAACAATAAATCACGTATATCATCCAATGTGTGATTTGTAATTTATTAAACAGCTGTTTTATCTAAGTTTAAAAAGTGTCATTTTGGGGCTTGTATGAACATAAAAACTGTTTCAGAATAGCAAAGGTAAATTTCTGGTAAGTGGTGGGGTTCGTATTTCGCAGTCTTTTATATTTTATGTAGAGTTTTGTAGACTGTTTTATGTCGTTTTGTCCTTGTCGGTTTTATTTTTATCTTTGGCTATCTCTTTTCGAATTCTTAGATTTGTCGTTTGATATTTTTATAAATAATTGGGAAAGTTTCTACTTATTGACTAACCCGACTTTAGTGTTTTCTCCAGGCTTTAGTGTTAAAATATCGTAGTAGATATGATATGCATAATGTTGTTATTCTTTTGACTATTTCACAATAGAGGTATACTGCTTTGTAAATTCCTATTATGGCAAGTCTATAAAAAACAGACTAAAATTAGGTTTTCTCGTCAATTTTATTTCTAAATTGCTAAAAGTGCTTTCGTTTTACGATTTTTTGTTTGAATGTTCATTTCAATCATATCTATTAGTAACAATCTTTGCATATATATATATAACAGTACCAATATATATTTTTTCCTATTTTATTTTAAAATTGTTGATAGTTTAAACATTGTTAAAATCATTGACACTGAGGAAGGCTATTTGTTAAGCCGAAATATTTGTCAACACGATTTAATAACAACATCTTCGTATAATACCATCTTATATTAGTATCGTTGTGCAAATCTCTAGACTTATATAATTTTTTCCTTATCTGCACAGTATCGTCTATTCTAGACGATCTGGTACATAGTAAATTTGCTGGTTGGTCCTTTTTAGAGACTTCTATATATATATATATATATATATATAAACAAGTCTAAATTGAAAACAACGTTCAAACCTATGATTGCGTTGGATAAAAACCGCAACTTTTATACGTGTGCATGCAAAACAAATTTCTTTGTAGAGGGGTCTAAATACAGCACAAACAACATTTTCCAAAAGACCAAAAAAGTTAAAAAGTATATTTTAACAAAACGCATTTGACTAGCAGGTCGAACAACGGATGTTCTTAAACCCTGCTGACTGCCATGGCGATTGCCAAATAAACGGATCACAGATGTAACACAATGGATCTTAATTATATTAATTTAATACCAAACAGAAAAGAATAAACTTGCGGAAAAGATGGTATACCGCAAACATGAGGTGCAAAAATTTGTACACCATATCCGGATTTCGACAATTAATGTCTCTTCAGTGATGTTAGGAATCGAAACGGTATTTGGAAAGCCATATAATTTACCTCAATTTGGGATTGACTCTTGAATTTTGAAGAGTCGAAATAGGATGAACGGATCATATAAACCCGAAGGCAAATATAATACAAGCCCAAACGAAAAAATATAAACAAGTCTAAATTGAAAACAACGTTCAAACCTATGATTGCGTTGGATAAAAACCGCAACTTTTATACGTGTGCACGCAAAACAAATTTCTTTGTAGAGGGGTCTAAATACAGCACAAACAACATTTTCCAAAAGACCAAAAAAGTGAAAAAGTATATTTTAACAAAACGCATTTGACTAGCAGGTCGAACAACGGATGTTCTTAATATATATATATATATCTTTTGATTAGATATTTGTTTGCGATCTTTTTTTGAATCTATCCCTGTTATTCTGGTTTTAACACTATTGTATTGTACTTTTAATTAGTAAAATGAATAGCGTAGTAAGTCTCTTTTGATGACAAGAAAGTAACATTAACAGTACCAATGTTACTGCAACAGATGCGCATTACGAAAATTGATGACTCTTCAGTGATTCTCGAGGCCACAATATTTAAAAATTTAAAATTTATTCAAAAGAGCGGAAATAAAGAACAAACATTGTAGCCTTAACTGGGCAAGGAATCAGAGCTTTGCACGAGGAAGATATATTCCTTAATTTAAGATAATTTCTCAAATTTTTATAACATAAAATTTCACTAGCACAATATCTGTATTTTCATTCCATTACCAAAGTAATGGCTACTGGGCTGGTGATACCCTCGTTGACTTACAGTCTACCAGCAGAGGTATTTATACAGTGGTAGTAATAACAGTAACGGAACCAGTTTTACTGCACTGTCCCTTTAGTAATGCTCTAGGCAAAAGGTTTGAAACCACACTTGTTTGCTCAGATGTGCATATTTTCTTTAATAATACTTGTTGCAACCTTTGATTTAGGATTTTTCTGTGTTAAACTTTTTAAATTACTTTTCTGTGTCATTTTCTTGAACGATAGGTTATAAAACCGCCACCTCTGTAGTTATTCAATTTTGATGCACTGACATTTAAATCTAGCATACGGTGCTAAAAATGGATTATCAAATATTGTTGATGAAAAATAGAACTTTAAGCACAACCTGTTGATGCCGGTCGTGCATAATAATTAACTATTTATATTTCAAATGTTCTGATAGATACGAATTTGGCCACTATAATGCTGAGTGAATCAGTTTACTAATTTGTGAGTTGTCATAAGAAAATATTCCATTTTGAAGGAGGAAAGTCTTGAATTTGTCAATTTCTAAATAATTATGATTTTTTTTCCAGACTTTGTCAGATCGATCAGATTTGAATTGCGAACTGACCAATGTTTGTTCTTTATCCTGTTATGTAAGTTTATGTGATTAGAATTGTTTTAGTTTCTATTCTATTTATATTTTCTTTATGTATGTAAAAGTTAAGATATTTAATCAGCTAGTTCATTTATATGATTTTTAGTTTAAAACAACTATATACACAGGATTTATTTGTTTTACACAGTTTTGATTTAGAAGAAAAAACCGACATGGTTAGAAAATACAAATAATTTCACCATTACTAACACAACTTTCGTTTATTTTTACTGTATTCCTGTCACGTAATGTTGTCATGTTTGCGGTATTTGTAACATTGACATATAAGCGGGAGGTTTAGCTAGCCATAAAACCAGGTTCAGCCCACCATTTTTCTTAAAACGTCCTGTACCAAGTCAGGAATATGGCAGTTGTTATCAAATAGTCCGTTTCTATGTATGTTGGCGTTTTTTTTTGTAGCAGTTCAGTGTTTCTGTTGTTCAGTTGTTTTCCTCATATAGTTGATGTGTTTCTATCGGTTTTGGTTTGTGACCGGATTTATTTTCTCTTAATCGATTTATGACTATTGAACAGCGGTGTACTACTGTTGACTTTATTTATTGGAATAATATACAGATAATAGTAATGCTTATTCAGACAATCGTAGTAACGTCGTAAACTATTTCTGTAAAGGTTCATTTTCATAATAGTAAAGAGATGGATATGCTAGATCGTGTATCAAAATGCATTTGCCATGAAATTGCAGTGGAGGACATGAACATTTTATGTGATTTTATTTATTTTTTAACTAATTTGTTAGACATTTAAGCATGCAATTATTTCAATTGATTAACGTTTTCAATTTTAGAGATTTGTATTTTGGTCACTTCCTCAGTTATTATGAATAATATGTCAATAACATTATGTCTATTAAATCACTTCATTTGAACTTGCTTTTAATTTCAATCAATACTTTTGTGGTACTAAATTAGCTGTATTATGACTACATTAAATGTAGACGAATAAAAAGTTGTCAAGAATGTTGAGAGATCCTGTCATTTTTTGCAGGAGTTATCTAAATTGTACTTTCATTATTCATTTTTCAACATATATCTAGTGGTTATATGATCTAAAATATGAGGCCGTGTTCTAGATATAAAGAACGTGAATTTTATAAGTACTATTTAAAGAAGTAATTTACCTATTTAAAGACAAAAACTCAAAATTGTTCATTTAAAAGCATGTTTAGATTAAATAGCCTTAGTTGACCATTTGATATTTTATATAGTTTGATCATTGCTAATAATGCGAAACTATTCATTTCTATCATGTCTTGGACAAAATTATTTTTACAGTTAGTTCCAGTCTACACTATTCATTTTCAAAATCACCCCGTGGGTGTCTCTGGAATAAAAATATGGTCACTATGGTCTTTTTCCGATCGGCCGTAAAACCCATTCCAAAGTGGGGCGCCCGTTTGGCTGTGCAGGATGTACATGTACTCAACCACGTCCGGTCAGAATAGGGACATTAAATCCGATGCCTCGTGTAGAGAGAGAGTGCCCTGTGCACTTTAGGAACCTTTGCAACAACTCTTTGAGGGTTCTGTAGGTTCCCTGTTACAAGGCTACATTTCTGTCCATATCCAATATACTGTCATTTTCCAAGGACAGTCCAAACCAGACTGTTCTTCATATCGGACGGTCTATTACATGACCTATTTATTGTATATATTGTGAATTTGTTCTCGTCCTGAACATGCATGAATTATTTGCCACTGGACGTTAGGCAACCGAAAGTCAATCAACCAATCCTTTTTTCGACTATTTTTACGCTTTTTTAGCCTGTTTTAATCAATAGCACGATTTTCTTAAGGTACCGATCAATTATCTTCGTGGGAAAATTTTTTTTTTATTACGTTAATAAAAAAGCAAAAAAAATACAGGAACATGTTTTAAAACTCCACGTTGAAACCCAAGGCCTTCTTTTTCAATTGAATCAAACGATTTTTATCACTTCCCGCATGAAACAAATATATTTTTATAAACATTAATTTGAATTTAAATAATTTATCTATCTAAAATTGATATGATGTGCATGTTTGTTTTTTCGGGGTCATTTTGGCCTTAATTTCGGTCTGAATGATTTATATTAATAGAAGGAAACATTACGGATACGGAAATAAGACAGTAAAACAACGAACAAAATTACCAGATTGAGAGACATCCAGAATACAACATACATTCTTAAACAAAAGTCATAATGAAATACATCTATGTCAAGCACCGAATCATTCCGAATATTTAAAATTTGGGATACTATAAAAACACAAAGTATTATAGGCCTGCCCCCAACTGCAAATTTTCAAGGAAAAGCAGGAAAAAGTATATTGATTAAAGGTATATGTATATCATCGATTTACCTGTTTTAGAATATTTTTTTTGGAAAAGGGGGGGGGGGGGGGACTGGATCATTCAGTCAACGAAATGGTTATTCATTGTGTCTTCTTTGTTTCACTTTTATATATTTACATTCTTTTCGTTTTAATGAATGAAGCATAACCTGAACCCGTCTTCACTAAAGTCAAATTAAAAGATTGCAATACTGCGGATTCAAATGAGTTGAGTTATTGACTTGCATGCTAATAATACATCAGCGATGTTTTTTTTCGTATTTTGACAAAATTGAATGAAACTGAATGCTAATTGCAAAATTTTGTTTTACTATATTCCGCTTTCATAAATGTTTGAAACAAATAAATCATATTTCAATTATTTTTTGGATAATTTGTAGCTAACGCCCCTTTAACAAACCTTACATGATTCAATTGGAGAGAAAAAACGAAATCAGTATTGCTTCAAAATTTGAAAAACTGAATTGATGTTTCTTTTACAAAAATATCATGCCCAGTGATTGAAAAGCAAAATTTGTTTTTTCATGTAAATGAACTCAATTTGTCATTATGCCATTGAAATGTACAATTTTGCTGCATAGTAAACACCTTATAGCGATTTATTCCAATCCGGATAAGTTCCGAAATTACAAAAGTTTTTCATCCAGTTGAAGCTATCTGGTTTGGGGTATAGTTATTTAATAATTTATTTTTAATGTAATATATCTTAAAGATTACTGTATAATTAATACTATATATATATATATGTATATGCTCGGAAACGGGCCCTTCAATTGGATTCAATAAATATTCTTATTCTTATCTGGATTCCTGTTTAAGCAATGTATTATGCATAACACTTTTCAAAGATACATTTTTACCATCGTAAACACTTCAAACAAAGCATTTTTATGATTTTAATTTGTGTTTTAAAAAAGTAAAGCATAATCTATCAAATTGTTCGCTTTTTAAACGTTTTCCTCCATCAGCTCGTTACTGATGATCTTTGTTTTTGCGACCCTTAACTAAAACTGGAAGTTGTCTACGTTATGTTTTTTTTCAGGATTGGACTAAATAGCGATAAGATGTATTTCATAGATAAAAATACTAAGCCTTTCGACGAATCTGATCTCATTTTATTTCTCGTTAATGGGTTTATAACTTTCTGCATGTCAAAGACTTCTAGATTTCCAAGAACAAAATTGTGAGTAGCCGAAAGGATTAGCTCACTTGTTCCTTCAGAGCAGCGCACGTCGTTTAGTTCTGTTTTAGCATTACTGTTTATTTGTTTGTTTTTCAAAAAGATGTTTTGTTTCTTTTGTAATTTTGCGTTTGTGTGTTTCAGGTTGCTGTTTTATAAAAGTAGTGACTTTATGTAGCGTAATACTATTTGCTCCAACACTGTTAGTTATCTCATGTAGGTATCACATTATATATCTTATATACCATCAATATAGCCTAGAAAATATCTTATATAAATAATACCATACATTGCTAGATCAAGATTACTGTAATATATAAAAATACCTGCACTTGCAAACACTCTTATACAATTTTGTTGATCAAATTTATACTTATTAATAATCAAATTGTGATAACCAGAAAATTTTAATATATCAGATTTGACAATTCAATTATGTGACAAAAGGGTAAAATAGTATAGCTTGTCGATAATATAATTTCTTAAATGGCTATCAAGCCGTTCCAATATTAGGTACTTAAACTGTTCAAAATCTGGACAGTTTATATTTTATTTTAACACGAATAACTAGTTATATATAATAAGGAGGTGCCGTACAATTTCAAAAATAGCACAAAACAATTGTCTCAAACAGGCACACATATTAAAGGGTGTTCCCTCCTTTCTCTACCAGATAAGATAATAATTACATTTCGATTTTTTTTTAATTTATTTTACAGTTGCATGACTGTAAATTATTGCTTTTGAAAGATCAATCTTAAATCTTTTGGTATACTGTTCTTCATTTTGCTTTTATGAGTATGCATCTATCCAAAATTATTTAGTCTTACAGAAATCGGCTGCTTGTGACTATTTGTTTTTAAGTTTTAATTCAAAAGAATATTTATGTCAAAGCTATGTACAATAATATGTTTATAAATATGATACAAAAACAATCTTGAATTGTACACTTGAATTAATTATGATAAACCATTGGAGACCATAAAACAGATGTAATAAAATCAAATATGCCATAAAGAGTTATATATTGTCTTATTTCAACTGGAAATCCGACTGGATAATATTTAATCAATACTTGTATATTGATCATTTATTATTTATTTTCGTATACATGTAGTTAGTCATTTGAATAAACTCATCATAGATACAAGAATTAAAATTGTGTACGCCTGACACATATTTTAAATAAAGTCTCATCAGAACTGAGATGTTCGAATCAAAAACGTTCAAAAGGCCAAATAAAGTACGAAGATGAAGAGCATTGAGGACTCAAAAAGGTACTCTATTTCGGGGGTAAAAAGTCAATAGTATTTCGAAGAATTCAAAGTTTTATAACCATTAAATTCATGATTTTGATTGTATCAATGATAATTCATGTCAACACGGATGGGCTGACTACTGGGCTGGTGATAACCTTGGGGAAGAAACCTCAACCAGCAGGGGCATCGACCAAATGGTTTTTTAATAACAAACACTTGATAGGATCCTGGATTAAAATTTTGTACGTCAGACGCGCATTGAGTCTACAAAAAAGCTCCTCAGTAACGCTCGAATCAGCTCTTCTTTGATTTTGATTTTGATTTTTGGTGTTTAACGCCACTTTTAAGCACCGCTTTTGGGCTATTTCGTGGCGGCCAGTTTTTATTGGTGGAGGAAGCCGGAGCGCCCGGAGAAAACCACCGACCTTCGATAGGAAAACTGACAATCCTAGTCAATTAAGATTGGAGTCGAGTGCACCCGCACGAGCGGGGTTCGAACTCACAACCTCAGTGTTGACTGGCTAGTGATTACAGTAGTGACTACTTAGACCACTCGGCCACCGAGGCCCCAGCTCTTCTTAAAAGACACACAGATACACACATATACTCACAACAGCATGAAAGCTGATATTTCTATTAAAATCACTGCATAATCCATATTTTTCACAATGGGACACTACTGCATAAACATATACAAATAAAATAGAAACAAATGATAATTATGCAGGAAGAATAAAACCCTTACAAAACTCATCTATGTATTTCGAGACAAAGGATGGTCCTTTTTGACCATTTGTCTTATATTTAGGGTATGCGTTTCAGATGAAAATAGTGTCCTTAAAGGATTACATTTTAACGTAATATAGTAATTGTATTCTAGAAAGTAAAAAAGAAAGTCAATTAATCTTTATTTACCAAGTTAGTTGTTATGACTGTATCTCTGTGGCTATTACGTCTTGGTAAAAGTCATTATATATTTTCAAATTTATGTTTTTATAGTTTTTAGAATGCTTCCATCATCAGGAAAAGTAAAGCTTGTACATAAAAGTAAGTGAAAGTTTATAGACTTTGTTGAACTCTTATATTCTTATGTTTCTTGAGAAGAAAACATAAAGACTTCATTCTAAAAAAAAATCATGCATTAAATCACTTTTGTAAAAATATTTACAGTATGGCAGGTTTACACTTGGTCTTATAGGTGGAGCACATACATGCTGTATTTTTGAACTAGTAACTAAGTGAAAGTATTTCAAAATTATTCAATACAACAAAATAAACCATATGAAACATACCTGTCATATAATTTGAAACGACAGACGGCGTTTTTTCTACACAAGACTCATCAGTGGATCTCCAATCAAACCGCTTGGAAGGTCAAACAAAATACGAAGTTTAAGAATATTTAAAACCCCAAAAAACTGTCATAATTCGGCTAAGACCCTCTTTGTCTTGTTTTGGATTTAATAACCTAGTGATTCGAATTTTTTCTACAACAAATTTACAGAAAATTTATATGTTTTGGAGTTTAGTGTGACGTCCATTTTCACTGAACTAGCACAATTTTATTTAGGGGCCAGCTGAGGACCACCTCCGGGTGCGGTATTTTCTCGCTGCATTGAAAACCCTTTGGTGGCCTTCGGCTGTTGTCTGCTCTTTGGTCGGGTTGTTGTCTCTTCGACATATTCCCCATTTCAATTCTTAATTTTATGTATCTATGATATGTCTTGGATTTCCTTGTTAATACACAGATGCTGTCTATTTGGATGGTGATACCATTGGATTTGGAACGTCCAACATCAGTGGCATCAATATATAAAAAAATCTCTGAAACTGATATTATCAAGATGCTTGATATTTTGATTGACGCTCCTCTTCTAGTCGACTTGTTCCTTTATTTATATGAGGCTGACTTCATACAGGAGCTTCTTAGGAAGATTAAAAAGAAGCCAGCATTATCTTTTAACTTCACTTTCCGCTATATAGATAAAGTCCTCTCACTAAATGATTTAAAGTTTTGTGACTATGTTGAACGCATCTATCCCATCAAACTTAAAGTAAAGGATACAACAGATACATTTAAGTGTACCTCATATCTTGACTCACATCTAGAAATTGACAATGATGGTTGGTTGAGACCAAACTTTACGACAAAACAGATGATTACAGCTTCTCAATTGTTAATTGTTCATTTCTATGTAGAAAAATTCCAGCAGCGCCTGTTATATAGAATATATCCCCAGCTGATATTACAGGATTTGTGTTTCCTATTATGATTTCCTTGATAGAAGATTGCTGTTCTCAAGGAAGCTATAAAACCAAGAGAACGCTATCACGAGTTGGTTGACCGGTATTGAATATATGTTTCTTAGATGACGACGACAACGTTTCTATTGTCGTAATAGCTGTTTATGGCTATTTGTTTTTTAGTTTTTATTTCAAAAGAGTCATCATAATCGAAGCTCCCTACTATACGAATGTTCATGAATAGGATACACAAAATCTTGCACCTGTGTTAATCATGATAAACCTTAAAAACCCGTCGAAAAAGATTGTACAATTTCAAATATGCCAAGGATCTGCTTACCCTTTCAGAGCACCTGAGATTACCCCAAGTTATTGGTGGGGTTCATGTTGCTCAGTCTTTAGTTTTCTATGTTGTTTTTTGTGTACTATTGTTTGTCTGTTTGTCTGTTTGTCTTTTTCTATTTTAGGTATGTCATGTATGTCGTTGTCAGTTTATATCGACTAATGAGTTTGATTGTCCCTTTGGTATCTTTCGCCTCTCTTTTATTAAGACTCCAATTATGTTATGTAATTTCAACGGGAAATCCGACTGAGTAATACTTAATCATTAATTAAGTATTGATCTTTTATTGTTTATTTTATATATTTAACATAAATGTATGGAGACGATTGAAGATCTTCTTATAAGACGTACGGATATACACTAGTACTCACAAACGCATTAATAGTGACATTGCCACTGACCTTTATTCTATCAAGTGTATTGTTGTTACTTGGTCTATGCGACTTTAGCGTTTTTAAAACTGTCATTTTATGACGTTTTATATATTTATAGATGTGGTGGCTGCATCGGAAAAAGAAGAGTATAACTATAAATGTAAGTGAGTGTAAATAGACCTTTGAATGTCTACTCTTAATTGCTAATAGATCTTGAGAAAAAATCTTCTGACTGCATTCTAAACTTATTCTAGCATTGAATTATTTTGTGTAAAAATACTGCCAGTATGGTTGAGAAACTTTCACAAATTTGTTTTCTCTAAGTGCCATTATCGAAGGTCGGACATTCCTTACTTACTTATTGTTACAGTATAACAGCTTGTCATGTGAAAATTTTGGTTGTACCAAAGCTAAGCTGTATTATGAAATCATAAAAAAATATGGAAGGTCCGATCAAATACGAAGTTGAATAGCATTTGGACAAGAATTCCAAAAGGTTATCTTTATACGACCAAGACCCTCTATGCCTTGGAATTGAAAAGTCTTAGAGTTTTAAATAATTTAATATTTTATACAAAGTAAATTGACAGAAAATCGAGATAACAATGATACATCTTTGTCAACACAGATATTCTGATTAGCGGCCATAGGCTGATGATACCCTTTAGTCGAAAGGTCCATCACCAGAGTCATCAGCATGGTGGTTTTAAAAGTCATCAAAAATAACTTGTTTTTAATTTGGTATACTGTCTTCAGAGGAATATTCAACGGCATAGAATAGGAGAATTCCGGAATTGTTGTTGTTTCAATGTGGAGATTGAAAAACGTCGTATCTCTTGACATTTTTCTATACATATGTCTATATTTTTACATAGGCGAATTAAGCAAATTTTATAATTAAAATCGCTTTTCAGATGTTCCACCTAAACAAGTGACCACGATAATCTAGTTTGACTCCCTCGCCTTGATAAAAACTTCGTCCAAATATTGACACTTTTATGCAGACCATGTTGTACTTATCACAACTTTGCATATATTTCTGACATTATCACATGACGTTTTTGTGTTTCCGTGTAAACTGAAATCGGACACTGGAAGGAAAACGGACGATCTCAGAACTAAAATATCAAAACAGTTTAAAAGTCAAATCAAATACGGAACTACACAGCATTAAAAAATAATGATAATGTAAAAAACAAAACTGGCTATATACGTGTGTAGAACCCCCTTAGTATAAAGTATTTTGAAAGTAACTTTTAAGAAAACTAACGTATCAATATTATAATTAAATTATAAAGGATTATAAGGTTCTATAAATCTTCAGTTTTCAAAGATTCACCTTTAAGCGTTCCTGATTTAGAAAAGGGCTTCGGACGCATGACATTTATAAAGTGTTGTTTTATTTTTTTACAGCACTGGGCCCGGGTCGCGCGCGATCGATACCACTGCTGGTGGACTATCAGTCCCCGAGAGTATCACCAGCTCAGTAGTCAGTACATAGGTACTGTCATGATTTATAACAAATCTTTCTTGAATTATCCGTTTATAAATTTATAAACTATTAAGAAACTAAGGCTTTTCAACTTCCTCAGACACAGTTGAGCTTTGATGGCTTTGGCTTTTATTATAGGTCCTGTTTGGTCACGTAGCTCTCTAACTGTTTCGGTTCTTATATATCCATGGCTTTCAAATATTCGTCTTTGAACGTTCCCGATAAAGAAAAAAACAGAAAAGCGCTTCGGACGTATGTACATTCTAAAGTGTTGTTTTCATTTTTACAGCACTATGTCGATATCGAGGGTATCATCAGCTCAGAAGTCAGGACATCGGTACTGACATGGTTTGCGTTTGTAGTATGTCATCGACCTATTTTTGAATATCCATTTGGTATAGTCCGCCTCTCTCTTTGATATACCTGCAACACTTTTTTCTTCAAAATTCAACTTAAAAGAGAGACGAAAAAAACCAAAGGGACACTCAAACTCATCAGTCGACAATAAAGTAAAATCACAAAAATACTGAACTCCGAGGAAAATTCAAAAAGGAAAGTCCCCAATCAAATGGCAAAATCAAAAAAACAAATACATCAAACGAATGGATAACAACTGTCATATTCAGACAACGCCATGCCTAAAAAGAACAAACAGTTTTGAAGAAGATTAAAATTAAATTTGCTCTTCTTCTTCTCTTCATGGTTTGCTTACTTTGCCCAAAATGCCAGTGTGAATAATTGCTTTCACTTGGCGTCCGTCATCTGTCGTCCTTCTTTGTTCGTCGTCGTCAGTTAACTTTTATTAAACCGTCCATTCTAATCCTACTGATCCAAAGTAAAACCAAACTAAGCCACAATCATCCTTGGGATATTTATTTTTGAAATTATGTCCGGTGATCCAGCTTGCAAACCAACACGGCCAATAAGTCTTAAATTAGAACAAACGGGTAAAATAAAAGTACTGTCAATCATCTTGTAAACCGTTATAGAAAGAGAAAAATTTGACAGTGCCAGAAATATTTAGAACGATGGGATCTTCCTTCAGTGTATTTTTTTTAGTAAAATTGAGAATGGAAATTAGGAATATGTCAAAGAGACAACAACCCGACCAAAGAGCAGACAACAGCCGAAGGCCACCAATGGGTCTTCAATGCAGCGAGAAAATCCCGCACCCGGAGGTGGTCCTCAGCTGGCCCCTAAATAAAATTGTGTGCTAGTTCAGTGAAAATGGACGTCAAACTAAACTCCAAATCATATAAATGAATTATAATTAAAAAAATACAAGACTAACAAAGGTCATAGCTTCCTGACTTGGGACAAGCGCAAAAATTCGGCGGGGTTAAACATGTTTTGTGAGATCTCAACCCCCCTATACCTCTAGTCAATGTAGAAAAAAAGAAACACATAGCAATACGTACAGTAAAACTCAGTTTAAAAGAAGTCCGAGTCCGATGTCAGAATAGTTAACAAAAGAAGCTCAGCAAAATGACAACGCCACATAAATGAACAAAGTACTACTAGCAGTTACTGACATGCCAGCTCCAAACCTCAATTAAACTAATTGAAAGATTAGGTCTTCATCATATGAAAATCAAGTACAATCCCTCCCGTTAGGGGTTAGGTATCATACCATCATAAAATATATGAGAAGAACATAACCCGTATCATGCCAATAACTGGTTTTAGAATAAATGTGTTTATTTCCGATGCAAAGACCCTATGAGTGAATCAATATTAATACCAAAATATGCAATCCTTAATGACTTGACAACAGTATCGTAACTATATCCTTTCCGAATAAGTCTGTTTTAAGGTTTGGTTAGCTTTTGAGATGAATGCCGACATGTTTGTGCTTTGTAAAGAATATTACCATAAAATATTGGATGTGAAATACCTGAACGTATAAGATGTCTGCATGTTGATTTATATTTACGAATAATGTCCTTGTACCGATGATAAAATTTAGTAAATGTTTTGACTAGTTTGTGATATCGAAAACCCTGGTGTAATAATTTTTCAGTAATACAGAGATTTCTTTTGTTGAAATCAAATACGTTGTTACATACAAGCGAATCGAACAAATTGAGATATATAAACACCCTAAGATGGCGACAAGGGAACGTCACCATCTAAAAATGAATAATTAACAATAGGAAATGAAAAATCATGTCTTTTATCATAAATTTTGGTATTAAGTTTCCCGTTAAAGATAAAGATATCAAGATCCAGGAAAGGGCAGTGTTCATTGTTAGTACTAGCTTTATTCAAAGTCAGTTCAGCAGTAAACTGTCGGACGCCTCCCTATATATATGTTATTGCTCTCAAGATGGTACAGATCACCTAAGGTAACTCTTGAAAAATCAGATGAACGTTTTAGTCTCATACTATACGAAAAAATGAATCAAGCTTCTTCAGTGTTTGTCAAACTGCTATATATCCAGTGAAATTATTACTGTATATTTTGTTGTTCAAATTTCTTGAATTTTTTAATATTTTGTCAACAGATCAAAGTAAATATTTTTTCTAAATTTTATGAAAATTAAACGAGCCAAATCTCTTTAAGTGAAAGTGTAGGGTAACCCTCAGATAATAAACTTTACCATTTCTTTTCTGTGTTTTGTTTCTGCCTATTTTGCCTGTTTTGAAAAAAAATAACAGAGTGGGATAAACGTTTTATAACAAAAGCTATCAGCAAGACACGATTTACAAATAATGAAAATAGTTGCAATCGTCAGTTATTTCCCTGTAATTACAATTTTTATCATTTTTTAGGTGTTTTTGCCAATTATCTTGAAAATTATATGACAGATAGATAATTTTTACATGCAAAATAATCAGTTTTTTCGCGTTTTTATCTATTATCTTGAGAACTGTATAAGATAGTGAGAAACTTTCAAAAGCAAAAATAATCAGCAAGACAAGTTCCGTTAGTAGGCCCAGAAGAATAAATCCTCAATGAACTCGTTATTGCCATTATATAAGGATTTTTCCTATTTTTGTTTGCGTTTTGTGCAAAAACTATAGTTGCAAAAGAGAAACTTCAAACCGCACATTAGATCAGCAACACATTATCTACACACAAGTAAAACTGCTAAAATTATCATTCCCCTCATGATAGGAGTTATAGTCGTTAAATGATGATGTGTTAATAAAGCAAAAACTATTCAGCAAACCATTTGAGTGATGTATTATATTATATTAGTCAACAAAAGAAACTAAACACGACTTTGGAATCAAATTGATCAAACATTATTTAATATAAAACAAAATGAGATGCACTATTTTAAAAACTTTTCATTTGCCATGTATGTGCATATTATTCTGAAAATCAAAACCTGTCGGAAAGAAACTAAATTTCGCGTAAGGACTCAAATTTTTTTTGCGGAAAATTGGATTAAAATCGACACACAATTTTCAAAGTACTAAAAGACTTTTCACATATGTTTAAAATTATGCAATATGCTAATCAAGTTATGTTCATGTTGTAAATTATGGGTTGAAATATTGTTTTTTTTATTTTTTTTTTGTAAAATAAGTGTTTTTTGAAATCTCAAAAAATGAAAAAAATAAAAATGTGTTTACGTCTCAAATCAATGCTTTAGATATGAAAACACTGTAAATTTGGAACCTTTCAGATTAGTTTTAAGTTTGATACCGTGTATTTGAATTTCACTTTACATATACTGTATATGGTAAATGAAAGGATAATGTATACATTTTACCGATTTATATGGGGCCGAATTTCGCTTTACAAATAAACGAAGAAACTGTAGGATTTTTAAAAACAAATTAATGACAAACATTGTCTTTACCTTTAAATGAGAGGTTGGCATCATTAGTTGGAACTTCTGTTTTTAAAGTTGTCGTTTTTTGTAAATTTTGTCCAATAAAAATAATTTCACCCAATGACGTCATGCAAGCAAAAAATTGTTTTTTTGTAAACGGATTTATAGTTCCGTGGTCATTTAGTATTACCATCTTCAATATTGGTCGTATATAATGAAAACTTCATCTTGAATTCGAAAAAAAAGTCGTGTATCGTTTCTTTTGGTGACTAGTATATATTCGAAAGGTGGAAAACACACACTCTTTATAGACTATAGTGTAGTCTTCTTCCAGTTCATCATTATTCATTTCCTTTACAGATTGGTTTTACCAGCTGAATATGACTTGTGACAATATTGATATTCATTGTATAATAGATGAAAGACTGGAACAAACATACAAATATCTACAGGCCTTTTACATAAAGAATGAACGATTAGGTAAGTAAATGAGATTTATCAGTTCTTATATCATTTGTTACACAAACAATTTGCCAAGTAAATAAAAAACTTAGTAGAGCTCAGGTAATCTGAGCGGGTTAACAGTTTTTATTCTACATGTGACACCAGTCGTGTTGATCAAGCAAGAAAAAAACCAGTAATAGCAAAAATCGGTAGATACGTCACTAATAAGAAATGAATATGCTTTATCAGTAACGTGACCGCACCTCATGCAAACAAATCAGTTATAACAATGACATCCACTCAAGATTGTATAAAATAAAATTTATCTGATGAAGATATTCCGGGGACCAAATTACATTTAAATGATTTTGAAACTTTGGAAATGTCCAACTGAGGAGATGGATACAGTGCCGTGGTATTAAAACTAGCAAACGATCAGAACTTCTACGAAGGCATGTGACCCGTTACGATACGCCCATTTCTTTTGTTGACATGTTTTACCTGAGCTACAAATAGTCGATCCTTTAAATATCGGAAGATGAACTTTGTCACCAGGCTTTGATTGGCAGTTGACATTTAAATTGACACAGTGACAGTTATGGAAATTATATGCAAACACAAACACAGCCCGTTGTTTACATTTTCGCACTTGCGTGGTGTTTATTAAACTTAAACTTCTCGATAGGTAAAATAAAAGAAATATTCATTCATCTAAAATAAATAAAATTAATAATATAAAACTAGGAATATAAGAAAAGAAACTACCATTTTATTGTTAGAGAAACCAGAGTATATATATACTTATATATATTTGTCTCTGGAGAAACATTTTATACTCCTATGTATTACAGATGTAAAGATGTAATAGCCGGTGTTAAGGTAGCTGTGGAACCGAACTCTTATCCTGGTGATATTTTTTTGACAATTTACGGAACATAGAGTCTGTGGTCCGCAAATTGTCAAAAAAATATCGCAAGGACCATAAGAGCTACGGTTCTGCAGCTAGCAGAAAGGCACACCATATTGAATTCAGCGTCGATGGTGGTAAATGGTACGATATAAAAAAACAGTGAAAACATTTCTGCTGAGAATAAAAGAAACCCTTCACTTCCTCCTGCTTTAGCCTAGAAAAAATTTCCTAACAATCCGATTCCACAAAATTTCAACTATGGTCATATATAACATGTAAAAGATTATACCTTCTAGAAAGTTAGAGTAGTCCTGATAAAACGATATGGGACAAAAGAGGACACTGATTTGTCACATATGACTTCAAAACCTTAAAACGTTAAAAGTGGCAGTGTCTCCAATATCATGGACACATCCAATATCATGGACACAGTTAAAAATTGTCCCTTTTTCTTACTTTTTGAAAGCTTAAGTTGATGCATCAATGAAAAAGGAACAAAGGACTGTACATTTGAATCTATCAAATGTCAGTGTAGCTGTTCTTGATGCAAGCTGCACTTATCCTGCTTCAGCATTGGTACATTGCAACTATGTTGCAGCAGTACTTTTATTTATTAATAAACATATTAAAGATAATGGTTATGATCCCCTATCTTGTACAGCAAAGCGTTGTAAGTGGCAACAACGCTTTGTGATGTTGAACCTAGGCCGCCAGCACACGAGACAAATCCCTTATGATGTGAAAATAGAAGTCGTAAACGATTTAAAATATTATAGCCTTACTGAATGCAAGTCATCAATGTGTGAAAGTCTTCTTACCTGCATCATAAAATATGACAACTATGCTCTAGATATTGAATGTAAAGTGTTACTTACAGACTTATTTTGTTCTTTCTTTACCAATATTCGCAGTGGCCAATCTAACTTTAGTACAAATGCTTACATGATACCTGGTACAGAGCCTCAGACAGAATCAGATAGAACAATGGAAATCCAGTCGATGGTTTTGCATAAAAGCATCAACTGCCAAACAGGCCCACAATCTTTTTAAAAAGTTAATTGGTTGAAACAAACACACACATAGACTCAACTTACAGAAAAGGGTATAATTATTTATACCAAGATGTCCTTAAATGTAATTCGATACCCTGCATTATTCATGCTTTTCAACAACAAATGGTGAAATCGCTGAAAGACCCCCTCCTAAACTATTGAAAACTATAATTCAACATTGACAATTATATCTATTTTCTATGTTTATGTATTGATGGTTATCTAGAATTTGTTTAGGATGAGGGATGTATAAATATACTACTACGTGCGGTCTGTGTTTTTGTTTGATGTTTTTCTGCTTTGTATCGATCTGATGAGTTAGGCCCTTTTCAACTGATTTTTATACTTTGTTCTTATGTTGTGGTGTGACACCACTGTCCCAGGTTAGGGGAATTGAGCGCTTACACACATGTTTGACCGCGCCACATTCTTTATGTGCCTGTCCAGTCAGGAGCCTGTAGTTCAGTGTTGCCGTTTGTTCATGTCTGTCATATTTGTTTTTCGTAAATTGTTTTGTTATAAATTAAGCCGTTAGTTTTTTCAATTGAATTGTTTCATATTGTACATGTCAGGGCCTTTTATAGTCAACTATACGGTATGGGTTTTTCTCATTGTTGAAGGCTGTACAGTTGCCTATTATTGCTTACATCCAATTCATTTGAACTTTGGTGGATAGTTGTTTCATTGGCAATCATACCATATCTTCTTATTTCTTAATTACTCAATGTAAGATAATATTTTATTATTTGATAATAAATACTTTTGTCATTATTTATTTTTGTACTTAAAAAGAAACTCACATGTGCTTGTTATTCAAATGTGTATTTTTAGAAAAGAATCACAGCGCTTAGTCTGTGTTCCTTATAATATAAAAGGTGTTTCGGTTAAGGTCGTATGGACCTAAACCTATCCTCATCAGGTATCCCTGGCCATAAGTTTTCGTTTTCGTTTTCGTTTTTGTAATATTAATAGAATTGAGAATGGAAACGGGGAATGTATCAAAGAGACAACAACCCGACCAAAGAGCAGAACACAGCCTAAGGTCACCAATGGTTCTTCAACGCTGCGAGAAAACCTCGCACCCATAGGCGGGCTTCATCTGACCCCTTAACAACAATGGATACTAGTTCAGCGAAATGGACTCTACACTTAACTCCAAAACATATAAATAAAACAAAATAAAAAAAAAACATATAAAGAATGGTTCAAATTTGATTTTTATGTATGGGAACAACTTTGTTGAAAAAGGTATTCGGACAAGAAATTTTTGAAATGAGAGTTACAAGAAAAAATACCCTTTTTATTCTTGATTAATTTTATAACTAAACCAGAGTGATTTCTCAATCTCATTGAGAGCTTGTGACACTGTGAGCAGCCGTTCCTTGTTCGTTGTACACCCTCTCTCACGTAACGTAAATTATATATGACATATTGTTTATATTTTTCTTTAATGCCTAGTACTATTGCCCAACACATTTTTTATTTAGAACTTTGTCATGAATTCACTGTGACATAAAACTTATTTCAATAAATTCAAACAATTCATATGCATAGAAAATAAAAACAAAGAAGACAATAAGTTGACACAATATAACTGAAATGTGTCATTTTATTAACATGGTATGAAAAATACGCCTTCCATCTCCTCACGCTGATGATATCTTGAATCACTGTTACATGTGCCATAACAACAATGTTTATTACCTTCCGATACAGTATTGATAACCTCGTGCACGTTATTGTTTACAACGGAAAACGATATCCGCTTGCATAACTAACGGGCATTTTTATCAATGATGTCATTCTAAAAATAACTTAAGATATATTTATAGTACGATCGATCTTTGCTATTAGTCGATTTCGGTAAAGTCTCAATCCAGGGAAATGGACGGGAATGTGGTTAGGACAAGTGGAATAAATCCTTAATCGTAGACACTTATACCAATATAATCATACAAATCAGGATTACGTTCGTAAAAACTTTTGAAGGGATGACTTAAGCTTAGGCACATGGAACCCCTGATGCAATAGCTTCGTTTAAAGCACTAGTAGACCTCTATAAATCTTCACTTTGGAAATAAGTATAAAATAAAGGCAACAGTAGTATACCGCTGTTCGAAATTCATAAATCGATTGAGAAAAAAACAAATCCGGATTACAATATAAAACTGAGGGAAACACATCAAATATAAGAGGAGAACTACGACACAACAGAAAGACAACATTAAAATGTAACACATACAGAAACGAACTATAATATAAAAATGGCCATTTTCCTGACTTGGTACAGGACATTTTAAGAAAAAAAAAATGGTGGGTTGAACCAGGTTTTGTGGCTAGCCAAACCTCCCGCTTTTATATATATCTTTATTTCCTACAATAATGAAGAGCATTAGTTAGATCGATAGTGAAAGTAAAGGTCGTCAGGGTATGTGAAATTTGAGTAGGGATTAATTGGATTTGCTTCATTCAGGAGTCTAAGAATTGTGTAAAAACCAAATACTTTATTATTTTAAAGCATATTGATCTGGACTGCCCCCATATTTGCCGGGTATGGCGATTTACCGTGAATCTCTTGCATTATTGTATTTGTATGCACTCTAAAATAAAAGTTTCTACCTTTTTGAAAGAAGTGCAGATAAGAGTTAATTAAAATTCGTTAATACAATTATCTACAGTCCTGTTTTAAAAAAATAAACTCGTCGAAGAAACTCTTCAATAGCAAACATAAAGTATTATGTTTTGCCCGGTTTGCATAGAAATGTGATAATAGAAGTGTTTCAAAAAGAATAAAATGGCTTCAATTCTAAAAAAATTGCAGTAATTAAAATCAATAATTCTTTAGGCTGGAACAAACAATTGTTAACTACCCCTGATCTCTTTTCATATAAAAAGGAATTAAATGTTATATCCACACGAGAAAAGTTGTTATGTTCTATGTTTTGATTGAATCTTATATATTATTACAGAGCATATTTTGGATTCCTATATCACTAGATCCCAGAGTAAAGAGAACATATTGTCTGAATTCGAAAAAATTTATTCTAACAAGTCAAAAAAACATCGTGGGGACAGGCTACTAATGAAACACGAACTGATGGAGGCATCGACAAATAGATATCCCATTTTGATTAGATGGGTAATTGCACATATGCAAGAAAATGGCATGACTGTTGATGATATGAAAGTGATGCTCGATATTGCAATTGAAAAACATGATAAAAATATAGCAAAGGCTTTATCATGGTGTTTAACAAGGGAATTCTATGTAAAATTTGCGAATATCCTAATAAATGCAATAGATATTTACCCAGGTATACGTTGCTTGTGTCGAGGACCTAATGTTTTAGACAGTTCATTCTGCACGCATAAAAGAGTTATCATTATTTTGACCCGTGTGGCTATTATTGAAAAACTCGAAACATATCATGGATTTGACATTGAAGAAGTTAATCCTGACTTGGCAAATTCAGACGATTCAGAAGCTATAACAATCTCTAACCTACTTTCATCCAAATACACAAACTCGTACTACTTAAATGTGAATTTGTCGCAAAATACAGTAGAAAACATTTTCAATCGCCATTCAAACGTTACTTTAATATGTCCATCAGTCTTAAAGTCAATATCGTTTAATAAAGTTCATGCCGTACAGGAGCGAATATGCATTCATCTTTATTGTAAAAAGAAGGGAATCATTCCGTTAGGAGAAGATCATTTTCCAACTTTGATTAATGGTATACCCACAGACATAATTGAAGGTAACATTTGTATGATTACAAAACTACGCATTGGAGACAAGATAGGACCACAAACAAGTATCGGAACTTTAGGAGGATTTGTGCAGTATTTGGATTTTGATTGCTTTTTAACATGTGCTCACGTAATGTACGATTTACAGACCCTTTTGTCGTCGTCTCACGATTTTTCTCGACTTCCTGGGGCCAAAGCCTTTTGCCATTCGGCACAAGGACTTGTTGACTGTGGCAAAGTCATTTGGAGAACATTTGATCATGATGACAAACTTAAAACAAGTATTGATGCGGCCCTTGTGCTGATGCAAAACAATGCAACGTTTGACCCGAATGATTTTATTTTGGATGACTTTGGTAATGCCTGCACATATGTAAAATTAGGTATGTAAAAATAGTAGCTTTCTGATATTTCCCGATGTCAATTTTTTATATTCTTATTTGCAAATGTTATCAATTGATTTCGGGAAGACTTTTTGTTATTGAAATATTCTGAATCAAAATATTTTTCAAATAAGACTTTATTTGGAATTTAAATGAAATAATCAGCTTTATATCAACAGAAATGGTTTTCTGAAGGAATTTGTAATATTTTGACATTACAAGTAAGCATTTTGCTAAACAAATAGAAAACCGATACTCGCATAAACAAAATAAAAGATTTCAAATTAATTTCCACGCCTACGATAGAAGGGTGGGAGGCATGGTATTTTCTGATTTGTGTTTCCTTTTGTTCGTATATTCGTACGTTTGTCCATTAGTTCTTCCCTCCCGTATCAGGTTAAAGTTGTTCGTTAATAAAGAGAACCATGAAAAGGTGGTCCCGTAAACTTTAAAATCGGTTCATATGTGTATTAATATTTGACATCTTTAAAAGAGATGCAAAATTACATTATCTAATAAATATGAAAATGTGGAAGTTGGATATAAGTACATTTTCAGATTGAATGTTTTGATGTAGGTAGCTTACCACAGAGTAGTGGCCAGACCAACTTGGAACTTAGTACACATTTAATTGTGATCGTCCCAGAAGGGCATCGTGTCGTTCAGACACATATTTAAATTATAAAAGTTTTAGAATCTATATTTTTTGGAATCAGTAAGAGAGTGTATGGAACTTATGCTTTTTATGAAATTTAATTCGGGCCATTGAATCTTTGATTTGTGTGCATTTTTCAGACATGTCAGTTGTATAAGTAGAATATGATAACAATATCAATACTGATCTTTTCTGCAAAGTTTTAACAGAACATTAAAGATAACACGTTATCAATTATTTATTTACTAAATGAGGACAAACTATTTGAAATTTCGAAACTTATCCAAACAATGATTTGATATAAAGAAGCAATCTAAATTTGAATAAAATAGGATGATGAAATGTAAATGATAAGATTTTTACTTCGTCAAAATTGTTTCCCTATTATGCTTATTGATTTTGTCGACCAAGAACACGGTAGTTATTGTAGAGATGACGCACAGTCATTTGAGCCCTAAGTAACCGTTCATCCTTCAATTGTACCAATACCAAGGAAACTCGCTTCTGTGCTTTTAGTAAACACGGGGTCTTTCTACTTTCATAAATCGCTGTAATTATAATAATAAGACTTTTTAAATAAGTTACATTTTACCTTCAATACATATATTATTGGTGAACATTTGCATTGTACAAGTTTTCTGTGTATCTTTGATGAATTGTAACACATAAAAAATATCCGCCTTAAAATTTGAATGTGTTTGAAACGTTTGCTGGCTTTCTATTATCAGGAAGGCTCAAAACCAAATTTCTTTAAGGCGGAGATGCATTGAAACTATTTGTCCAAAAAGACCTAAATAGAATAACAAAAAAAAAGATAATTTAGCAAGAGGGAATTGCATTCTTATTTTTATGTTCATACTTCCTCAACGGAAATGTTGAGAACATAACAATAAAGAGATGTGGTACAATTGCCAATGAGACAACTCTCCACCAAGGATCAAATGACATAGAAGTTAACAACTATATGTTATCGTACGGCCTACAAAAAATATGTAGGTCATAAATAATGTTATTGGTGAAACGCTGAATATTTGGCCTATGATACAAGGAAATAACATACATAAATCGGACATGCATTTCATTGGTTGAGTAAGTAATACATTTAATTAATTATCAAAATAAATATACAGTTTTACATATGTTTAGTTCTTCGTCAGTTACATTGTAATATTTAATATTATTTAATTGTGCAAATAGTATACAAACACAAATTCTTTTTGTTCAATTCCAGGTTTATCCAATCCGTTTCTAAATAATAATTGTTTGGATCACGAAGAATTTTGTATCCCACAACAAACAGCTAAGGTTGTAGGAGCTGGATCCATGACCAAATTAGAAGCAAATGTAACATTCCCTAAACAAACTGAGGTAGACATCTTATTTTCTAACGCAGGTCAAGCTGCATCTTTTTATAATGGAAATGTTTTTCAGCCACTTTGGATAAATTCTCCAGCTCATTTGCAACTAGGAACAGGATTCTTGACTGACAGAAGAATATTTCGTATGTACAATCAAATAACTATCAATTTAGGATTACAGCCTGGTGATTCAGGAACATGCATTTATGTAGTGCAACATCCATATAATAAAAATGGATGTATTGGAATGGCCATAGCATTTTGTGGAGGTATGACGGTAGTGACTCCGTTGAAAGATATTCTTAAGAGAATTAGTTCCTCATAAAAGTGTATTACGATCGAGAAATTCAGTACGATCGGTAATAAAATATTCACAAACCAATAACTTCTGTTTTTTAAGAAATGGCTATAACATGAATAAATTTTGTACACGAATGCATGGTATTTTTTTTTGTAGCAGTTTTGTTTAAATGATGACATGTATATATGAATACAAGTGTTAACCTGTACGTATGGCAATCTTATTTTTTCTTATTGCAGCTCTTTTTGTATATAAATGATATTAGGGGCTGCTAAATAGTTAGAGTTCCAGATCAAATTCAAGTTAGAGTTTATGCTTGTTTGAATTAGAATGCAAGGTGCAGTTCGAGTTGAAACTTCGAGTTAAGACCGTTAATTTTAGTAAGTGTTTGATCTATATAGTTTGAGTTGTAGTTTTTACAAAGTTTAAAATCGACTTACAATTAGAGTTCAATGAACACCAATTAAGGAAAACGTGAAAATATTCATTTCAGCTTCAGTTGAATTATATAGCACATGAAGCAGATGTCAATGACAATGCTGTGAATGTATATTGAGCAATCCTTCTTATAGTTTCAGCAGGTCTTGTAAATTGTAACCCTTTTGAAACTTATAACAAAGCGCAAACCGGAATATACTGAATTGAATTAACTCATTTGCGTACACCAAAGTGTATAGATTTTGTAAAATAATTTATAGAAAATAACTATTTCTGCATACAAAAATAGGCTTTAAAATCAAGTCGGCTTGTGGAGCCAATGGACAGAGTTTAAAGCTCCATCTTACTAGTTTTTGTTCCGTTGTGAAGAAAAATCCAGAGTGAAATATCACATACCTATGGTAAACGTTGATATCGCAAATTTTGTTACCTCGAGGTATAAAATATCTTCTCTTTGATATACGCATTTTATTTTTTGTTTCATTCTTTACATAAAACTAAAATAGTCAAATACACAGTATGTATTCTGACTCACCGGTTCTAAAAGAACCACATTCACTGCAAAAGAACCACATTCATTGCAGATATTCATTAGTATTTTTTTCAATAACTGATTTTTAATAACAAATTATGTTTGCTTAACCTTTTTTTTTAAATCAATCAAAGCTGCTTTGGTTGTTTCAAACCAGGAAGGTTTTTTATACAAAAAAAATAATGATACAAATATTTTTCCGGAATCAGAACTAAAAATACATGTCAAATAATGTATAATATTGCTGCATAAATAAGTCTTTATAAATACAGATTGTTAATAATGATGTAAATTAGCTGTGATAACTATTGCATTATATAATGATGATTACCAGAAGTTGTTTCAATACATATGTGATTTTTTTAATGAAAGTTATTAAAAAGTACCGTGACCCTTATTGTGATATTTTTAGATCAATATGTATTTTGTATTATGAGATTGTGCTTTTTAGGACTTTATAATAATGAAATAATTTTAATATCCAAAGTGTAATTTTCATCGAGCGTATGCTTTTTACAATTTCATTTTCACAGGTCGGAGAGAAGGAAAGCGAACAAATCTGGTTTTACCCGTGACATACATGTATGTTCTATCCAAAGCAAGATTTTGTTGGTGGTTGGTAATGTCTTATATCTATTCATTTGTTTTTCTTGAAGTTAGATATTTGGTCGTCTCTGTTGAAATCACTAACGAACTTTTTAGAAGCAGCAGCTGTGTTAAACGTTGACATGGTTGAGGCACTTGTCTATTTTTGTAAACCGCATTTAAACTAAAGTGTCAATTTGTTCTTTCTTTGGTTGTTTCGTTGATGTCTGTTTAATCTTAGCTGCATACTTTTCAATCACAAAGAACTATTATCAATCCAACACAGAGAGAAAATGTAACATTACCAGTACCAATTTTAACAGTTCTAGATGCGCATTTTAACAAATAAAGTCTCTTTAGTGATACACCAGGTCAACATTTTTGAAATTCCAAAACCAAAAAATTACTAACAACTAAGGAACATTCAAACTCATAATATATAGATATAAGAAGATGTGGTATGAGTGCCAATGAGACAACTCTCCATCCAAGTCAAAATTTATAAAAGTAAACCATTATAGGTCACGGTACGGTCTTCAGCACGGAGCCTTGGCTCACACCGAACAGTAAGCTATAAAGGGCCCCAAAAAATTACTAGTGTAAAACCATTCAAACGGGAAAACCAACGGTCTAATCTATATAAAAAACGAGAAACGAGAAACACTTATGAACCACATCAACAAACGACAACTACTGAACATCAGATTCCTGACTTAGGACAGGTGCAAACAAATGCAGCGGGTTTAAACGTTTTAATGGTACCAAACCTTCACCCTTTTTCTGAAACAATAAGTCGAAGTCGAAGTCATAAGTCGAAAAGTCGAAAGTCATAAGTCGAAAACAAACTGACAATACCATTTGCACAAGGACAAACAACAACACACAAAAGACAGCATTGAAAACTAAAGGCTGAGCAACACGAACCCCATACAAAAACTCAGGTGCCCTGGAAGGGTAAGCAGATCCTGCTTCACATGTGGCACCCGTCATGTTGCTCAAGTTAGTACATTTGAGGAAAAAAGGAAGAGATTGTGGTTACAACGATTGGAACATATCCGTCGTCTTCTGTGAAACAGATATTCCATAACGGTCAATCAGCTCGTGATGTCGTAAATTTTCGAAGGGATGATAATAAACTAATACTCCTATTCAACTTGTATTAAATTAAATATATTCTATCTTTGTACAGAAATATTCCTGTTCCTTCAGTACTAGTATACAGAAATATTTAAGTTACAAAATGTTAGATAATCAAAATGTTAGATAATCTAAATGTACCAAAATTCCACAAAAACGCTTCTGTATCGTGATCTTCACCTGAAAAATGAAAGTGATGCCGACCAATTTCTATCTTGATGGCTTTAGAGATGTTAAGATGTCTTGCAACCTAGGTAATTCATCATTACGCCTGAAATATAACAAACTGACTGCTTAGCAAAAATATAGTATGTAAAAAATTTACACAAACATAACCATTCTATTTTTATCTTTTTTTGCGTTTCTTGACGTTTTTTTTAATCAACATATTGTAATGTTTGTTAATGTCAAAACTTTTTACTTTTTTATTCTTTTTTCAACAACTTTGACAAAGACCTAATATTGAAACATCTTTTCTGTCATTTAGTTCTTATAACATGTGTTTCTTTTTGAAATTTTCTTGTTTCCTTTTGATATTGCGTAATTTTACTCATCCAGCCAAACATTAAACAAAAACTTCAAAGATACAACAAGGGTGTTTTCTGTTTTGATTTAAATATACATGTATGAAAATGTATATAACGGGTTGGTTGATAAATAGGTTATAACCCAACATAGATTTGGATTTACCTATTTCAACTTTCGTTTATTTATGGTTACACTCCAGTTCCAAATGCAGTATATAATTCCAAGTTCATACGATATTCACGGGATTGCGTTTTCCTATAAGGATTTCATTCATATAAGAAATCTCCTCCCAAAAAAGCCATTAAATAAATGGTTTTTAATGGCAAATTGAAGTACTGTAAATTTCTTTGAAAGTATTACGATTCAATAAAGATTTGGTTTACAATTATGGAGTATCTGTTGACCATATGGAAAGGAATATGTTCCTTTTTTATAGCACTACATCCGCTTTCTGTTCTCAATAATGAAATAAATGACTGTGGGTATCTACCGAAGGTTTACTTGCTACGAACAAAAACTGTTAGTACCATCAGTAATGCAAGACCTGCTGACTCTTCTTATAGACAACATGAGGTATGCCTGTTTGGGTTGCTCACCCAATTTTGTCAATATAACGGATCTTTAAACAACTGTCACACAAGTGAGTGGTTGAGCTAGCTATAAAACAGGTTTAAGGTAGCAATACACAGTCAGGAGTGTAGTTTCGCATTTTGGCCTAGATGGATTTATCAAATATGAAAGTTATTGAGCAGTAAAGTTCATTATTAAAGTGGATTTATAGATATAAGAAGATGTGGTATGAGTGCTAATGAGACAACTCTCCATCCAAGTCAAAATTTATAAAAGTAAACCATTATAGGTCACAGTACGGTCTTCAACACGGAGCCTTGGCTCACACCGAACAGTAAGCTATAAAGGGAACATAAAGATATTTTTTTACATGTTTTGTGGGTTATTTTCTGTTTGGTAGTCCGTATTTTCATATCCAGACCTGCCATAGGTCCTGGTATTATTGTAAAGAACTTTTTGACGCAAAAAATGAGATGATAAATATATGCTTTTTATTTGTTCTCTTGATAGATATATGTAAACAGTTTCAGAAAAGATATCACAACAAGGGATTCAAATTCTACTTTTGGCCAAATTTAGGGGAAATATGTGACATCTTTGCTCCTCTTTTTGCAATATTTTATAGGAAATTAGTGCAGATTGTTGGTATGGATACATCAACAAAAGATTATATTTAACCATTTTAACATCTGGAAATCAAATCTATGGCAGACATTGATTACATACATATGCACATATATGAGGCAAACAATAAGCTTAACTTGTAAGAAAGAAAGAAGAGGGGATTGTAAACTGTAAAGTATACTCGTTCCGTTGGTTGATAACGTTTTATTTTGACAGTTCTTACGGACATTCCTTTTTGAATTTTGTCCTGAAAATATCAAATGGTCAATGACTTGGAGTTCGGTATTTTTGTTATTCTTTTTTATCCCGAGTTTATTGCAGTATATCTTTTAACTCAAGTTTATGTTTTCTCTGAGGTGTTTTGTGAAATGGTGTTGATCTGGTCGTCTATTTTTCATCTTAAAATGGTGTTATAGATCTTTCATTTTACTTCAAGTTTTCAAATCCTCTTTTTTAGCTCACCTGGCCCTATGGTCAAAGTGAGCTTTTCTCATCACTTGGCGTCCGTCGTCGTCGTCCGTTAACTTTTACAAGAATTTTCTCCTCTGAATCTACTGAAACAAATTTAACCAAACTTAGACACAATCATCATTAGGGTATCTAGTTTAAAAAATGTGTCCGATGACCCTGCCTGCCAACCAACATGGCCGACATGGCTAAAAATAGAACATAGGGGTAAAATGCAGTTTTTGGCTTATATCTCTGAAACTAAAGCATTTAGAGCAAATCTGACATGATGGTAAAACAGTTTTCACAGGTTTAGATCTATCTGCCCATATATTATCAGACGAATCAGACAACCCGTTGTTGGGTTGCTGCCCCTGAATCGGTAATTTTAAGGATATTTGGTAGTTTTTGGTTATTATCTTGAATATTATTATTATAGATAGAGATAAACGGTAAACAGCAATAATGTTCAGCAAAGTAAGATCTACAAATAATTCAAAATGACCAAAATTGTCAGTTGATCCCTTCAGGAGTTATTGCCCTTTATAGTAAATTTTTAACATTTTTCGTAAATTGTTGTAATCTTTTACAAAAATCTTCTCCTCTGAAACTATTTTGCCAAATTTAATCACATTTGGCCACAATCATCATTAGGGTATCTAGTTTAAAAAATGTGTCCGATGACCCCGCCTGCATACCAATATGACCAACATGGCTTAAAATAGAACATAGGGGGTAAAAGTTTTGTCTATTATCTTGAAAACCATTATAAAGATAGAAAATCTGACTAGAGCAATAATGTTCAGAATGTTGAGCTCTACCAATTGTATTTACATGTCAAAACTGTTAGATGACTTCTTAAAGGAGTTATTGCCCTTAAATGACAAATTTTGCCATTTTTTTCAGTTTTGCCTGATATCTTGAAAACTATAATAGATACAGAAAAACTTTAGATTGATCAGCAAGACAAGTTCTATAAATAGGTCAAACATGGTCGAAATCGTCAGTCTACTCCTTATTAGAGTTATTGCCCTTTGATGATGATTTTGACAAATTTTTGCGTTTTTGCATTATATCTTATAATTATAATAGACAGATAGAAACTTAGCTAGGCAAAATGATCAGCAAAACAAAGACTACAATGAAGACAATATGGAGAAAATGGTCAGACGAATCCTTTTTGGAATTATTGCCCTTTAAAGACGATTTTCACCTTTTTCTTTTGCGTTTTTCCATATATGATGAAAATTATAATAGATAAAGATTCACTTTAAATCACAAAAATTATCAGCAAGTCAAGATCTTCTAACAAAATAAGTGTGGCGGGTGATGCATGCATACAAGGGGACGCGTACCCTGTCGACGCACCTTTTTTTGGAGTTCATGCGATGCCATGAGTTTGTGGTTTATGTCATTTATGACATGTCAATATATGTCGCTGACAACTGAAAACAATTGTGATTTTGGTTTGACTTTTAATCAGATTTTAGAATCTTATGATGTGAT